ACCTAAGACGGGTATTCAAGTATAAGTAGTTAGTTTATGCATAATAGTCAAATGTACAATTATGTCTTCTTACAAAATATTAAATAAACATAATAAATACTTGTTTGATTACGGAAAAAAAAAATATATATATATTTAATTAATATAAAGAAATAAAAAAGTAAATAAAAAAATAAAAAGAAAATATATGTATATTCTATGGCCTTATGCTTCTAATTTTGTTACATTTGCTTATAGTAATTTAATTAGTAATGCTTGATAATATGTCACATTGTCAGGATCAGAATCATACTATACATGTATCTAATAATCATCTGAAGATATGTCTCAGAATTGCAGGTTGTCAGGGCAGATTAGATATCTTTTAAAGCATTCAGTTCACAAGGTGCAATATGGGTTCCATAATATAACCAAGATCAAAATTGGTATATTTAATTTTTAAAGAGTTTTATTATTATTATTATTATTATATTATTATTATTATTATTTTATTATTTTTTAGTTTAGTTTTTGATGGATTTTTGAAATAATTAAGTAGCGGAAATAACATAATTATGTTATTTCCACTTAGTTTAGGTTATGACCTCCCAGATGTGTGGCGTGATTCATTTTTGGGCCACATATCAAGGTGGTGTGATTTGTTTTTTAGGCCACACTCAAACTCTCACATATCAAGTTAGTGATTTGGTTGATTTCTATGGTTAAGTAGTATGTGATACAGGCCATACACCAAGGTGGCGCATTTTGCATATCAGACATTATATATCGGGTTGATGATCATGGCCGATTTCCCACATGCAACATATCATATGATTATGGTCATCAGACAACATCCTACATACGCATGCATAGTTTGGAGGCGTAAAATTTTTAAGCGAGAAACCATGCTGTGATCTTAATTTTTTTCTTGTTTAGGTCTCTATCACAAAATGATGTTAAGCATTATTGGCGTTGAATTCCACCAGACAGTTTTCTATATAAGTATTTTATATCTCAAACCAATTGAAATATCAGTAACTGAGCAAAAAATTTTATTTTCTTTTAATTCTTTCAACGAGATTGAAAATGAGCTCATCAGATAAACGTGGATTAAATAACCTCAAAAACAAGTCTTATCTAAGGGGTACCTTGAAAGAGCTTGCTAAACAGTCTGAGGATGAAAGAGTAGATAAGATTCTCAACCGAATTGATAAAAATCTTACCCCGAAAAATCCTCAGCGTCCGAAAGAAGTATGTTTTTGGTATGTGCATTATTTAACCGATTTTTAAACATATATGATTATTTTTTGCATAAAAAAGCCTAATACTAGGAATTGGACTCGAGTGCATGCTACACCCATGACTGGAAGCACCACGCCTAAATCTTGATATGGTTCTTATTGCCATGTTATCAAAGAAAAGCCTGTAAAATGGATATATTTCATGTAATTTTACTCTGACATTGTATTGATATCAGGCATAAATAATAAAGTTTTTTGATTCTATTCTCAGATTTGCGTAACCTTACTGTATCATTAATGACACTTCTTTTCAATAAAATAATGCATTTATGTATATATGAACAAGTTTTTGAAGTTTTTTGCTCATTATCATACGAGTAATATCGGAAAAATAAAGTATTTGCTTGGAATATCTAGTCGCGAATACTTTTGTATAGGACATTGCATAGAATATTAAATAAAAAAATACAGTATAATGCTTCGATAAGCAATCAATCCTGAAACTAATTGTTTAATTACAGTAGGAATTTATATCTTCTACAATATATGTTCAACGTGATTTACGCGTCATTTGCGGAGCAGGTAGTGAGAATATATGCTATCTGGCTACGCTATAAACACGCTATCGAGTACGCTATATTCCTGCTATCGGGTAAATGTTATCTGGACACGCTATACACATGCTATCAAATATGCTATCGATTTGCTTTGTCCCTAGCTGGTCCTAGTAGCAAGATATATGTTTACTTACCTACCTGACTATAAGTTATATCTCATGATTGCTATGCTAGAATGCGGTTAAAATGGATTTGCTCGCGTCCAAGAAAAAAAATCCGTCCAGGTTTTGTCTAGGTAAAAAATATGTCAACTTGAACGGATAATGTTATGAAGAATAAGGTCTCTTTTTATTTTAACTTGTTCTTCTATACTTGTTCTATTTCCGTCTAAGTTGTCTAGGTAAAAAATAGAATTCTGGAAAAAAACAAAACTCTTTCCTATGTTATATATTTTTACCTACCAATATATACATACCTTTGATACATATACGTCATATGCTATATATGCATACACTACACATATGTTCTATACACATAGATAAAAAATATATAAAGTAACCTGGACGGCTCGTCTGAACCTTTTCTTTCGACTCGGAAACGTCACAAGCTATCTTTTTTCCGTCCAGGAATCCGTCCAAGAAAAAAATCCGTCTAGTTTTACCTGGACGCCCCCCTAAAAATCTAGGACAAACTATGTATTTTTTTCTACCACCCCAGCACCGTTTTGTGCCATTTTCTCCAGCTTTTTCTGGTGCCTATACTCTCTTCTACGATGTTTCTGTGCATGAATATCACAATAACCATAATCAGAAGAAGTTAACTTAATGCAACCATATTCTTTGCAAGGAACGCACATAGGAGAATTCCTGTGAACTTTACACCCCTTTGGATGATAGCATTCTCGGTTACAAACTTCTCCGGTTCTAAGGATATAGGGACAACGATAAAATACCATTCTTTTTGATGTTTATCTCGATTGAGTATATAATATGTACTGATAAATATTCTTTAGAATTAATTTTCATTTTGAACTTTTTAGTTCCGAATAATAATCTTTAAGAAAAAACATGAGTACCCAAAGTGAACATAGCATGCCTATTGTACCTGCATCATCCGATGTGCCAACTATGGATAACCAAAATTTCCAAAAAAACATCAATCACATGCCAGCAGAGTCAGAAGCACCACCTTCTCGACCCGAGAGCCCAGAAAACAAGGTAAATTTTGAGCCAGAGATAGAGGAAGAAAATAATGGGGCTTCTACCACCGGGGGCAACGCACAGAGCGTGGCCGGATATTTATATAAAGTACGTGATGATACAAATTGTTATGAATTTCTTGGCACAGATTCTAAGAATGGGATAGAAACTATATTCAGAGAGCGAAAGGGTCATTCACCACATGAATATATAGAAGGCGATGACCCTCTCCGTTCCTTTATAGATTTCAATTTACCCCAGGAAACATTAAATAAAATCGATCCCAAACCTTCACATATAGAGGTGAAAGATATACTTGCTCGTGCCTTTAAAGAAGTATGTTTAGAAATATATCCAGATTGGGATAAAACTACTTTGACTATTGCTGGTAGTAGCAATTCAAAAAAAATGTCACTCCGTATATCAACATTCGGTATGAGACTTAAAAATATTATGGCTTGTGCATTATTTATCGAACTTGTTCGTAAAAAATTCCCAGTAGGTTTACAAGACAAGGAAATTGTTGACAATATTGCAAATAAATGCTTATTCTCCTTGCAAATGCTTGGAACACCAAAAGTAATCAAGAAAAAATATGAGAAAACTGGTAAAAAACTTATGAGCATGTACGAGTAAAGAGAGCAATATACAGTATCTCGAAAATAGAGATATCTTCGATTTTATGCTTCGTCCACCTAATGATGAGACACCAGTTATAGAAAGTCCTCTTTTAATTGTTTCAAAAGCAGATACAACTGGATTTTCTAACACAGGGATTGAAGCAGAGATACAAAAATTTCTAACACTGGTGCCGAAACTACTAAAGCTATTGGAATCGAACTTGAATTGGTTGTAAAATTATTAGAAGATTTCGAAATTAGGGATATGAACTTTCATGCCCACGAGATAATTTTTCTGATACTTTTCCTCTCAAATGTATAACTCCAGCATATTGCCCATTATGTGATCGAGAGTATAACTATTGTTATCAGCTATGGTGAGTCTGTTGCTAATTCGAAGCTAAGGCTTGCATAATGATAAGGAAAGGGGTCGGGGATTGCTTGTTTAACTAAAGGTACATATTAATAACCTCCCTTATTTTATATTGCCAGGTTAATCCTCTATCACAATTCCTTTGTGTGCCTCTTAGGATTCTTAAATGGTCAATAACTCTCTAAAAATAAGTATATTAATTAATATATTACAGGTACAAATAATATTTAATAAGCAATTATATTTATTGTATTGTGTTTTCTTGTGTCTACCACACACTCTCTACTCTAGCTGATTCTAGCTATATTTATACTGGTTGTAACATGTCTATCAAACTACCATTGCATTATGCAAAATAGGCTTTAGACTTATTAAACTTTCTAATTCCCTGACCACTGCATCATGCCAAGTCACGTAATCATCAGCGATTTGGATTATTCCACTCATTTTTTCCTGCTAACAGTATTAATAATATATATTTTTTTATTTTTAGCTAAGTGAGATCTTCCTCATACTTTATTGATTAACAAGTAATTAATGTAATACATTTTATACAGAATCAAAAAAAGATGAAGTATATGACTATACATATCGGTCTGCCACCATAAACAGATATATTATTTGAAAAACCTTTAACAGGGAAAACATGAACTATCTGTCAAAAAATAAAAAATAAAAAACATTTCGGGCAGGATCACCATTATGAAGAGATTTAAAGAGAATGTAGAAGTTTAATAGAATAATATTATCTTTTGTCCAACAATTTCTTCTGCAGGGCACAGATTCAATGTGTCTACCTAGGTTCAAGGCTTCCTTTCAACATTTGGGCGTGACTCCAATACAGTAGCAAAGCACTGGCATAGGCTGCCAGATTATGGGGCGCAACTCCCTGGTATCTCACTTCCACTCAAAATAAGATTGCTCTTATTCACATTGATCAGGCTTTGGCTGCCTTTTTTCTTTAACGGTAGCAT